CATTCCATTGCTGTTAGGACCCGCCTTCAGGACAGAGGGTAGGGGACACAGCCCACTGGCTATCACTGGCTGCACCCCATAACACTATAATTCACATTGGATGTGAAAACAATTTCACTCAACACATGTCACAGTGGGACCAATCATCTTTCTAAAAGGAAGTGCTCCGGCCGGCAGAGCCAGTAATGTGGACAGGGAGAGGGTCTGGGGATGAAGCACCAACAGGAGAACAGTGATGGTAGAAGTCTTCCTTTATTCCTCCTTCACCTCTCCTTCTATACTCTTACCCCAACATCCTCATTGAGCAGGATATTGGATACAGATGAGTTCAATTAGTCTAGGTGTTTTTAGCCACAAGCCCAGTTCCTGTTCTTGCCCAATTCCTGTTCCTGCCCAGTTCCTGTTCCTGTTCAGCCTAAGGAACACTAATCAACTCCTTAGCCCACAACAAGGAAGGAATAACAACCTATCCTGTGTTCCCATAACATTTGTCTACATTGTTATTATATGATTTCTCATATTTCAAAGGTACTTCCAAAAGTTGATGGGAAAATGAAATTCACAGGTGAGTTTAATTTGATGCCAGCCAGATGGTTTTGAGATTGACGCAGTCTTTTTATAATATATGTTTTTATGAACTTTTTGAAGATTTCTCATTTTGGGGATTTTTATAAGTATCCATTTTCCTAAGTTCATAAACTATTTGAAATCAGGAGCCACATTTCTGTCATCCTTGCATCCCTCAAACTGCCTGGTACATAGAAGATGTCCAATACATATTCAATGAGACTTAAAGTGAAATAATCCAAAGTTTTTGAAGCTTCTATTCTAAATTCCTATTAAAATAGATGAAATAACATTTATTTGTTAAATAACATTTCCAACAGAAATAAGAATTAACATGCACATAACAAAATATTGCAGTTTTTACAAATTTCCCAATGTGAGTCTGAAGGGTTCGTTGTAAAGGTGACTGTGCTCCTGGAAGTCTGGAATCTCCAGAGAGACACCTGCATCCTGTTAGGAGCAAAGCTCCTGCTTCCTGAAAGACATGGAGGCAGGCAGGAGATACGGAGAACCTTGGAGTTTGGGATTTGAGGGAGAGACAGCTACCTCCAGGCATGCTATTTTATTACTGTCTGCCTTGAAGTGATATGATCAGGGCCCCCAAGCCTATACGTTGTATATTCCTGTCGCATGCTTTCTGTTTTGTGTCACTGCTAGCCCCTAATCATGTACTTGCTCATTGTCACATAGCTTCTTGATTTTTTTACTATAATAACCCCACAATTATTTCATTCAGAGTGCTTCTTGCTTATGGCAAGAGGCTGCCCATTGGAGTAGACAATAAAATCATCTCAATTGCCTTGGAGTCTTGCTCAGATTCATTGAACCCCAACATGAGTCCATGTAAATCAGGTTGAGAAGGATCAATTTAGCTCACCTTTTGAGGCAAAACTCTAAGATGAGATGAGTGGGACTTGACAAATGCAGTGATAGCTACAAACAGGGAGAAAAGCCAGAGGCAATAAACGGTGATCCTAAAACAGGATTCAGTGCACAAGGTGAGAAGGTCCTGCTAACGCTTTCCTGGGGAACGCTTTCTCTTCCCTCCATGTGCCAATTGCGTTAGATCCAGCAGCGTACACAAGCCTTATCACTGGCATCCAAGGACCATAGCTGAGTCTTCAGGGCAGCATTCTGCCATCCTCACAAGTTGGCTAGCTGCTTCCGGGTGAAGAGGCACACTGGCTAGTGAGCCTACTGCTGCAGCGCCTTCACCACACGCATAACCTCTGTCAGGGGACAGATAGTGTGGGTTACCACGACAACGGATGAGACATTCTGTGCATTCACAAATGGTGGTGCCAGAAGAAAAACAGGCAAGCCCACAACCAAAATGTATTCAAGACCCTGTAAGGACAAATTCAGCTTCCTCATGATGGAAGACTCCCAGATCATCAGAATGCCACTTCAATCTCTGCCTAGTATATACCCAGGAGGTGTTGTTATGGCGAGAGTTCATTATTGACCTCTTCAGTTGGCAGGCTGGGAATCCCATTACAGCGATTGCAAGATCACCTCTGTGAGGAAAAGACCCATCTTATTGAATCTGTGAATGGCTTCGCTACCTGCCACAATGACCACCTTCTAGGCAGGATCTTTGAACACACATCAGGTGGCAAGAGGAAGAGAAGTATGTATAGATTGTTATCCATGTGGCTCATGAGAGCCTGCTCTTTAGAGGATGGCTGTTCGGGAGCCCTTATATGGGACTTTTTTTTTTTAATGCTCTGTACCTATTCCGAGAGATTCATCCATAAACGTTTTCTACAGTCTGCTTGATCAGTCTGTTGATACAAACAGTAGTGCAGCTCTAGATTCAGACTTACAAGCAAGTAGACAAATCAATGTCTTGCTTTGAAATTCTGTGCCCTGGAAGGATTCCCCTTCACTATCATGTTTTGTGGACTTCCCTGGGTATAGTTGTCCACTCTGGCTGCTGCAAAAAGGCATTGCAGATCCAGCCACGTAGTCCAGGCTGTGCTGTTTCCTCTGCTGTTCACTGGCCCAAGAGGCTTCACCTGCAGGGCATAGCTGTGCAGTGAGAAAGAGGTAAGGAAGCAGAAGGAGCAGGTGCCACGACAGTAGAAAACCTGTCGCCTCTCTTCAGGTGTCTTAGTTCTTTTCTTCACACTGGAAAACTTGACTAGTAAAAAGTAAAAAACGCAGCAAGACTCCATTTCCAAGGTACCCTGAAGGAAGCACAAATTATCTGTTGCACTACTAGCAAGCTCTGGAAAGATTCCTTGGTTCTTGTTTGGACCACTGACTGCTCTTCTGACATGCCCACTTGGCTACTGGTACCTTCATAGTCAAGGCTTAAATTCTGCAATCTTTACATTTAAAAAAAAAGTTTATGCAACAGGGAAGTAGACAAAGATTGACCAAGTTCCCACCCCGGTCATTCTCAACATTCCAGAGGCAAAAGTTGTTGCCTTTTTTGCTACTTGCTTTGTGTTGGCATCTTTGCTAAATGGAGTATTCAGCTTGTAATTGCAAAGTGAAATGAAAAGAAGTTACTGAAAGATTAGAGGGGAAAGATGAAATAAGAATGCAGGAGGGAGGGTGGGTTAAGTACTGCTATGCTCCTAAACCCATATGATGAAATACCTGAAATGTGTTCAGTTTATATAAATAATGCCTTAAAACATTCCAAGTACTGGCCAGGAAACCACTGTTCTAAGCCCTGGAGTCCAAAGGCAGGAGTCGAGCATGTCCCAGCCCTCAGAACAAGGCATCTTCAAGATTTATTCTCCTCAGCCCCTCTCTCCCCCCAGGTGATTGTCAGTCCCAGCCCACACGGTCATTCCCCAACTCCTGTCAGAGTCACGTGGCTATAACTTACTTGGTTTTCTAGATATTCCTTGATCAAATGAAGTGGACACTTAAACTTACCCAGCAGGGTGGTCATTTGGGGCAGCCATTTGGGGCACTACTTGGAATAGTTACATCCCATATCAGAGTGCCTGGTTCAAGTCTTGGCTCTGTTTCCAGCTTTAGCTTCCTACAAATGTGCGCTCTGATAGCCCTAGTATTTGGGTCCTTGCTACCCATGTGGGAGACCCAGAGTTCTGGAGTTTGGAATGACCTAGTCCTGGCTATTATGGGCATTTGAAGAGTGAACCTATAGGTGGAAGCCTACCTTTCTCCCTCCCTCTCTCATCCCCTCCCCATGATTTTATGAAGGTTTTATTTATGGAGGCTGCAAGTCTAGCAGTCAAATCATAGTCAGAAATGTCCAGAAGGTTTTCAGTCCAGTATCACCAAGAGTACTACATCTTTTTAAAAGATTTATTTATTTTTACTGGGAAGGGAGATTTACACAGAGTAGGAGAAACATAAATTTTTCCATCCAGTGGTTCACTCCTCAAGTGGCCATGATGACCGACGCTATCCTGACTTGAAGCCAGGAGCCTTTTCTGGATCTCCCACATGGATGTGGGGTCCCAAGGCTTTGGGTCATCCTTTACTGCTTTCCCAGCCTACAAGCATAAATGGAGCAGCTGGGACACAAACTGGCACCCATATGGGATCCTGGTGCATGCAAGGTGAGGATTTAACCACCAGGTTATCATGCCAGGCCCAAGAATACAGAATCTTTTAAAATTTGAATTTACATCTTCCCTCTACAAACTTGGAATTTTTCAGTGTCCTCCAGCACATCCAAAGGATTTACCATTGGATTATGGTTATAGGCCATTGGGTTATGTTGAGTAACGAAGAGGATAATATTGTCAAAAGTAAACCCGAAGAGAAACCTCTGTTTCCCCAGTAAACACTCCCCAGGATGTGACATTAGAAATACTGAAGTTAGGCATGCAATAATCCCCATAGCGAAACAACGTAAAAAATGCTAAATGATCTTGACCTGCTGCCAGTAACCCCTTGTGGGGCCAGTAGCCCTCCCTTAACTGAGACTCTTCAACAGGGCTATAAGACTGACAAATCAACAAACTGTGTTCCTCCAATAAAATGGAAATGTGATAATAATTAAGTCAAACTCCAAGCTAAGATCTTCTGTAAAATGTTAAGTACAGAAAGCTGTCCAATCTAACACAAGTGGGCAGAGGCTTGTGACTTAACACTGCAGGTTCTGGGAGTGACATAATCTGTATCCCGTTCCCACAGTTTACGAGTTAGAGGTTCAAACAAGTTTCTTCATCTGGAACGTTGTACAAGCTAAGTGAGATAGTGAAGTTTCAACTCTCAGAACACAGCCCCATAAATGTTAGCAATTCTTGATAGGTTGCAAGGAAGGAGGGAAAAAACATAATTGTACATGCGAGGTAATTATACCAACATTTGACTACCCATGTTTCGCATAAATGCGGGAAATAGGCAGTCGGCCAAGCTTCTCCTTAAAGCATTGAGTACCAATCTAATCTTATGCTCCGTTCAAAGACGTGATGGACCTAACATTCAGTTATTGTGCACAGACAGACTCGCACTGCCTGCAGGAGAACTTGGGGGAAAGAAGGAGAAATTCCTCCCGAGTTGACCCGAGAGGACCGGTCCAAGCTACCATCGCCAGGCCCCAGGTGCGCTTCTGCACCGGCTCCAGCAGCAGCACCTGCGGCCGTTGAGCCCCGCGGGGCAGGTGCGCGCCTCCGGGCCGGCCGCCGCGCGCGCACGCGCAGTTAGCAGTCGCTGCTGGGCGGCCGCCGGCCGGATTGGTCTAGGGAGATACCCGGACCAAGTGGCAGCACCTCGGACATCTGAGCTGCCACTGCTGAAAACAAACCCGCAAGATAGGTGTGTGAGCAGTAACCCCCCGCCCGCCGCCCTTTGTCTTGGGGCTGGGTGAGGAGTCGGGAGTTGTAGTCGTTTCCTCCCAAGGGGGAGGCTCCGGGAGCCGCACCCATTTCTCGTGCGACTTCAAAAGCCGAACAGATTGGAGCTAGGTAAGGGAGGGGATGCTGTGTTCGGTAATGTGGGTGCAGCGAGCGAGGCTCCAGGGCTTGCCCTGCCGGCCTCCGGGTGGAGGGCAAGGAGGGAGAACACAGGCATTGGATGGAGGGAGGCTCTTGGATCCTTTGGGCCTTCGGAACTGCTGCGTCCACCTGCTGCACTTGGGGCCAGGGCTGGGGCGGGTGGGCACGGGGATGGCCAGGCACCTGCTTATCCGGGCCCGCAAGTGCGGACTTTTCGGGGCGACAGGGCACCGAGTCCGTTATTCCACCGGTTGCGATCTCAGCCTCGTTCCACGCTCGAGCTCCTGTACGGACTTCCAAGGTGATGTGGAGGGTCCTGGGGCAGCTTGGCTGTTGCTGGTCGTCTCACCGACCACCCCGCGCAAAGCCCTAAACAAAACCCAAACAGGCTTGGTGTATACAAACCCCACCTCTAAAAAAGCGAGGGCACAGAAACCTTTGGCGGGCGATGGCCAGCCTGTTCTAGCCACTTTTTAAAAACGCTGCCTTTGGCCCTTGTGCGCCCCCCGGGGGAAGCGAACCAAAGGGTTGGTTGCATCCGATGAAGCCCTAATTATCCAAGACTATCTCTCAAAGCCTGTTTACTATCCATCAAACACTGTAGCAGAATGTATTTGTAACCTTTGCCCAAGTAACCAGCTTGGGACTTCAAAGCAAATAGCAATGAAACTCAGGAGGGTAAAAGAGCAAGTAGCTACAGTGGCCCTGGGAAAAGTCTCAAGTTACAAGTTTAATTCCTAGGGAAATTGATGCATAAAAGCCAGCGACAACTTCTGCATAACTTTAGTTTTGACTTTTCAGCTTGCAGTTTTGCCTTCAACGTCTGCTCGATTCAGTCTTCCAATCCCATTTAAACTTTATCCTTAGAAAAAGCTATTCTGTATCGTAGTTCGTTAGGTTCATGTGCATGCATGCAGTGGGTGCATTGGGCTGTGGAGGTTGAACTCTGCTGTACATTGATTCTGCTGCTTGATTTCATTCCCTAATACGTTTTAGTGTTCTCAACTCTAAACCTAGAATTGTCATCCTCCATGACCTTTACATCACCAGGGTCAACCCTTCCACTTCACAGGCTGGAGAATAGGACCGGAGTGGCTTGAATGATAGAACTAGCCTTTTGGTGTGGTATTGCCATGCTCACTGTACAGGTGAGATGTTATTCCATACTAAGTTCTTGGAAACACCGTTAATATTGCTTAGTATTGAAACACTTCTGAAGCTTACCAGCATTGGCTAAGTCCTCAAGGAGCCAATAAGACTGAGTAATAGCAGAAAATACAAAACCAAAATCAGGACATGGTAGATCCAGAAGCATGAGTGAGTTTTAAATGTGAAAGACATGAATATCTGGGCACAGTTTATGCTGAGAACTATAAAGAGTACTGAACACTTTTGTAAGTAGCAAAGCAAGATTATTTTTTAGAAAAAAATGCCAGCAAGAAGACAGGGAATGGATTTGATATTAATAACAAGAGAAATGATCGCTTTGTTGGCCTTTTGGCTAAGATCAGATGAAGAAGAGAAATGAAAAGGCAGGTGGCGGTTTCCTAGTAAAGGATGAGCCTGCCAACTAAGTCTGCGACATGAACACAGACACATTCCAGGAAGCCTTCCACGGATGTAGCTACCCCAGGCCCAGGAGAGCCCTGAGAGGCTGATGGTAAGATCCTGCTGAGTTGAGGTGCAGTCAGGAGAAGGGAAAAAGAAGGCAGCCTTTGGTATATCCTTGTAGATAGATAATTACAACGAGTAAGTGGCCTCTGAGCTATGAGCAGGTTTGGGAATTGGCTGGCTTTTCTGGGTGGCAGGCAAGAGTACCTGTGAGAAGAGAGCCTGGGAATAGATTGCTAACGAGCTCCCTGCCACCCTCAGAGGATTAGAGCCCAGCAAGAGGACCAGACGCGGTCCCATGGAAACCCAGCGGGCAGAGAATTCCAAGAGAGTGACACGCAGCAGAAGAAATAAAGAGGAGGAAAACAATGATTGCTTTTATCATTGAGACTTCAGATCTGGATGGCAGGGGCAGGTTGCATAATAATTTGCCAAGAAACCAGAACTTTGGTGGGAAGCATATTCAGTTTTCATTGCTGCCATAATGAATGCCATGAAGTTAGTACCTAGCAACCACCCAAGTGTATGTTCTCACAATTCGTTGGATCAGGAGGCTGATCCAGGGTTCTCTGGGCTAAAACCAAGATGTGAGCAGGGCAGTTCCCTTAACCAGATGTTCCAGGGAGATCTGCGTCCTTGCCTGACCTGGCTAGTGATAGAGTTTGTACCTGGTGATCAATGGTCACTTGGGATTCTTTCTTGTTTTCTGAGATAGTCACTCACGGTCCTTTAGCTCACAGCCTCTTTCTTCCATCTTCGAGGGCCCCCTATGTCCAAAGGCTTAAGGCCCAGGACAAGGAAATGCAGGTTTCAATCGATTAGAAAACAGCTCAGAGCTGCTGTGGATCTCTCTCTGTCTCTGTCTCTCGCTCACTCTCTTTCTTTCTTTTATTCACAGCAGCAGTCAGAAAATCACGAGAAATAGCCACCTGGAATAGCCCCTTGCTGCCACCACCAGCAGTGGGACCATGGGAGATAATGCGCCTTTGGTTTATGGCAGCAGTCAGGCATATGCAGAAATCCACATGCATCCACACATAGCCACATGCACCAGGAACTACATATATCCACAGATGCACAAGCAGCCATGTGTGCGTCTACAGCCACCCACAGGCAGGTGCATCTAGCCATGCTTCTGTGGGCTTACAGACACAAGTGGCCTGGGGCTAAACCATTATGTTGCTGACTTGTGGGCAGCTAAGCAAGCAGGTATACCTGTTGACCACTGTGATACTGGTTACCATGGAAACACAGAGGTATGGGAGCAAAGACAGTAGATGTGGCAACTTGATGATTTCATCTCCCCAAGTGATTGGAGTCCCACCTCATCCTGGAACTTTGATTTGCTCATTTCTTTCTTCATTTCCTGCTGTTGAGAACCCCTCTGATGACACTGGGCTCACCTAGATAATCAGGTTATTCTATTTCAAACTCAGCTAACTGGCTAGCTGAAGTCCATCTCCAAAGCCCCATTAGCCATGAGGCTTAGCTTTCACAGTACCCACGTGTGGGCATCTTTGTGGGAAAATTATTTTGCCTTTCAAAGGAATAGCGACTAACAGAGACAGGTTCTTCCAGAAACGTTGTTGGTAAGAAAAGGAGATAGTAAAAAATCATTTACATTATCTAGCGTGTGACACATAGTTCTGGTAGTCAAACTTAACAGTTTATCATTAGGCCGTTTAACTTTAAATATAAATATCTTCTTAAATGTCTAGAAATGAGGATGAGCAGTATTTAGACAATGTATCACCCAAATATAAGGTAGAATTGTTAACGCTTATATTTCTCGTGTCCCTATTAAAGCTGCTTCCCACTCTGCTTGACAAAAGACCATTTAGACCAGCCAACTGAGCATGTTTGTTTAAAATTGGACACATATCAAAAGTGTAACTTTTTAAATATAAAAGTCACCCAAATTAGAACTTGTGTCCGAGGCTCACTTTGCTTACATAGGAGCTAGGAAACTAACACCGTCACCTCGCCTTCACCTCCCAGTGGGGAGGCTGGGATGAACAGGGCTGACATACAGTCTTTACCCTGGGCTTTTTCAGCATCTTTGCTGTATGCATTGGTCCTTTTTGTCCCTGGTGTGTCTCACTAAAGGGGCTCTGGCTCCACCTGGACCCTTCCTTCTCACAGAAAATCATTTCCCTAACTATTGCTGCTACTTTAAGAAAATTATGTATGTATTTGAAAGGCAGAGCAACAGAAAGAGAGATCTTATCTCCGCTGGTTCACTTCCTTAGTGGCCACGACAGCCACAGCTTGGTCAGACTAAAGCCAGAGGCCAGGAAATCCATCTTGGTCTACCATTTGGGGGGTGAGATGCAAGGATTGGACCATCTGTTGCTGCCTTTCCAAGCACTTTAACAGGGAGAACTGGATCAGAAGCAGAGCAATCAGAGGGCCTGGCACAGTAGCCTAGCAGCTGAAGTCGTCACCTTGCACACACCAGGCTCCCATATGGGTGCCAGTTCCCATCCAGCTCCCTACCTGTGGCCTGGGAAAGCAGTTGAGGACCGCCCAAGGCCTTGGAACCTGCACCCATGTGGGAGACCTGGAAGAGGCTCCTGGCTCCTGGCTTTGGATTAGTGCAGCTCCAGCCATTGCTGTCACTTGGGGTGTGAATCAGTGGACAGAAGAGCTTCCTCTCTGTGTTGCCTTCTCTGTATATCTGACTTTCCAATAAAAATAAACAAATCTTAAAAAAAAAAAGTAGAGCAATGAGAATTTAAAGCGGTCCTCTTCTGTGAGATGCTACAACTGAAAATGGCAGCTTAACCCACTGTACTATGTAGGGCTGACCCTGTCACAATCTCTTTACTTTTCTGTCACTTAATGTAGTTTATGGATCATGCTTGGGTTATTTTCAATTGGAGGCTTTCCTTCCTGGGTTATAAACTCTTCAAGTGGCTATGCACATGTGCTAATTGCTGTGAACATGGTTTCTAAGGTGATGCCTGGTGCATAACTGACAGTCATAAATATCCATTGAAACCATGTATACGTGCCACGTCTTACGTGCTGACTGGCCTCAC